CTTTTGAGAAAATAATTGATGCAGAAGGGCTTTTATAACTTGACCTGTAAATTTCAGTTTTCATATCTTTCTAGCTTCTTCAGAAAGAAAAGCATAGTGTTTATTGAATATTTCAGGTAGATGTGATCTTCTGCTAGGAAAAAATATCTTCTTTATGAGATAAAATGATACTAGTTACTGTGCTCTGGCTTTTGCTTTAAAATTCACTTGCCTGATTATTATGTCAAAGCTAGTTTCATTTTGCTAGAACTATCTGAGCAGACTTCTTTACATGAATTTGCCTCTTTCTTCAGGACTGGCTTTGAAGAGGACAAGAACTTCCATGTTGTTCTAAATTCTGTCATAGCAGGGCGCTATCATGTTACTGAGTATCTTGGATCTGCTGCATTCAGCAAAGCCATACAGGCACATGACCTGCATACGGGCATGGATGTTTGTGTGAAAATCATAAAGAACAAGAAGGATTTTTTTTATCGAAGTCTCAATGAGATAAAGCTTCTCAAGTATGTCAACAAGCATGATCCTGCTGATAAGTACCATATTCTCTGGCTGTATGAGTACTTCTACTACCAGGTAAGTGAATAAATGGGTGTTGCTGTGGCACATAAATTTGTGGTGGCAGATATTTGACTTCTTTCAATGCAGTAGTGCTATTTACCTAGTTCTACAGTAGATTCTTTTGTGTTTGATGGTTTCTATTCAATTATTTCAAGTGTTTCCACACATGTTAGTTTATGACAAGTTCTGATTTAAGTAAAAGCTGAATTCTTTTATTTTCAGGAATATTTGTTAATTTGTATGTGAACTTATCAAGACAAACTTATACGAGTTTCATAAATTTAATAGAGAATCAGGGGGTGAGGTTTATTTCACAATGCCAAGATTACAGGTATGGTAGTATCATATTGCAATGAGCTTCTAATTGATATGTCCTGCTGTTTTCTCATTCCTTCAAAATGTTCAATGCAGTCAATTACCATTCAATGTTTGGAGGCACTTCAATTTTTGCATGATCTTGGTCTTATACATTGTGATCTAAAGCCTGAAAATATATTAGTGAAAAGCTACAGTAGATGTGAGGTCAAGGTCATTAATCTTGGGAGTAGCTGTTTTGAGACAGATCATCCATGTTCTTATGTTCAATCGAGGTCGTATCGTGCACCAGAGGTTATCCTGGGGCTTCCATATGATAAGAAGATAGACATCTGGTCACTTGGCTGCATCTTGGCAGAACTTTGTACTGGCAATGTAAGTTTTAACATATGAATTAAGAGATGCCTAGAGTTCAGCTAGACTCCTGTATCTCATGCCAATCTATATCACTTGAAGCTATTGCAACTGATCACTTTGAAACTTGCAAATTGGTATCAATGAAACTTTGGTGTAGGTCCTTTTCCAAAATGATTCACCAGCAACATTACTTGCAAGGGTTATTGGAATCATTTGTCCCATTGATGA